TGAGCTAGCAAATGTCCCAGTAGCTCAGTCTCAACAAATGTCATTTATTTATACATATACACACAACTAAACACACACACACATTTTAAGAGAAAGCACAAACTACATAGTTTATAATAAATTTTGTAATTATATTAATTGTTCTTAATGTAAATAATATAGAAATAGTGTTTGTATTGCTCTTTCAGCTCCCCACATCTAATTGAATGGCATCTAAAGCTACTGGTCCACATTCTGAAGTTCACTAATACAGCCCAACTTTAAATCCCTACGCAACATTTCGCCAAGCCATTCTAGACTTATGCATGTTTACTACATCTTCTTGGTTAGTAACAAAGTAATCTAAACACTAAGTTATATAATTATGCATACAGTTGAAACTCAGTCTTCATGTATTTGCATTCTCTACAAATGCATATGACTTTTAAATTTCTCAAATACTTGTTCATCTTGTCTACCTGAGAGATTGTCCACCTATTGGAGTGTATGTCTTTACATGATCACTTGCGTTTCTTTTTCTGTGCCTAGCCTGTTCTTGTATACTGCTATATTTTGATTTATTACTTCCTATAAGCTCTTTAATGGATGCTAAGACTTTGAAACTTTAGATACTGCAAATATTTTCTGTCACTTGTCGTTAGAAGTATTATATGTTTTGCCATAAAGTGTATCAGTATTTTTTCTTCTTGATTTCTGGCTTCCGATACATATTTTGCTTATTCTTATTTACTCCGAAGTTTTAAGAAGTATATTCACCAATGTTTATGCTTCTGCTCAAAATATGAATTAAGCTTCATAATTTGAGAGTAAATTGTATTCAAATTGGAAACTTAAATTATAAGTTTAACCTGATCTTATATGCTATTGTTTGAACAGGAAGATGTTATGTTTATAAACCCATATTTGCAACACATGTTGACATAACACATATTAAATATAAAGAAAAAATTGAAACATCTGTAAGTAGGCTTAGACACATAAAAATGAGATGGTTTCTATATTTTCAACATCTTCCTTGTATGAAGGGCTTTATTTATACACATAGAGCTTAGGCAACTGTCACCATGTAAATTCATTGGCTGCTATGTTAAGAACTCTATTGTGGGAAACAAACTGAAAGGGAGAGCTTTTTCTGTGAAAGTTTCAAGATGTGTTCAATGATTTGAAAAATCTCCAATAAGATATGTTGGAGGAGACAGACTGTGGAAATGAGGGGGTAAAATCAACCAGAAACTTCAAATAGGGATTTGTATATACTCAACTAGAACCTTTTACTGAAGTTCAAGGCCTAGATTATTTTGTTTATTTTATTCTTCATTAAAGTGCACCTCTGCCTCAAACGAAAAGTTAAGTGCCAAAATTCTATGCATGTCTCTTCTCAAAGTATTTCCAGAAAGATGGGAAACAGGAAGTATTAAGAATTCTGTGAGAAACTCTGTCTTTGGATTTCTAGCTCAATGTATATAGATTTAGGTGTAGAATATCATAAGTTATAGTCCTATAGAACAACTAATCCTAAAAGATGTTTCATAATAAAGTTGCTTATTGAACATACACTTTCCAAAAACTTGACAATGGTGCACTAAACAATAACATTTGATTAAAAAAAAAAAATACACTGACTGCGCCCTAGAAGGTAGTGCTCTGAAGTTTGGGAATCAGCATCCAGGTTTTAGCTGTGCATTTAAACCTAAGCTATACTTGTTGCATGAAGGCCACTGTTGGGGAAAGTATTGTTACTTTGTTGACATAATTCTAAGATACAGGAGTTTCCATGTCCTTCAGACCAAACTTTCTATGTAGAGGTCTCCATCATAGCTGATCTCTCCACCCCCTTGACCTTGATAGGGAATTGTTCGAGGGCCTTTGAAAAAGTTAAAGAACAAAAGAGCATATGGTTAGTGTATGGAGTAAGAAAGTTATATTTAAAAGCACAGGGCATGAGGTAGACAGATGCTTAAGAAAATCTGTCTTTTGATTAAAAAAAAAAAATTTGACTGGCCAAAGAAATTTTGCTTTTATATGTGAAAAGATACAGATCAGATGAAATACTATGAAAGACAAGCTCCCAAAATACCCAGATGGAGAGCAGCAAATTAATAAGGAAATATTCAGGTGATACCTAGATTTCTGGTAAAATGGTTGAGAAAAAGGTGGATAATATATTAAAGCAAGGAAATGAAATTAATCCTAGTTTTTATAGCAGTAAGATGTGAGCAGAGTTCTATTCTGACAATTTAGAAGATATAGTTTTTAAATGCTGGTTCTGCACAGTGTCTGCTTGATTTTGAGCAAAGTATATTATAACCTATAAACTGAATGTAGAAATGCCCTCTGAATCTATCGCTATAGAAACCCAGTAATAAAGAGTTTTTTTTTTTTTAAAGCTGTATAATATATTAACAAAGTTACTAATAAGTAGGGGTAGTCTGAATTTTTCTGGTAAGTTTTAGATTCAAACCATTTTTTGAAACTGAAAAAATAGTAAAAAAAAAAAAATAAATTTTTTTTGGGGGGGAAGCCAAATATGAAGAGAATATGGAAGGGAGGGAAAAGTGGTATCAAAAGAAATGAAAGGTCAGCAAGAGATCAATCTTGTCTGAAGAAGTCTGGACAGCTATCAGTAATATAAAGGGTGTTCTTTTATATTAATAAATAAAGCTAATAGAAAAATTTGGAGTGTAGAAGTTATTAAGGGAACTCCAAGTGAATTGAGTTGGGAAAATAACTGGAAGAGAAAATTAACTGGTATTATCTGCCATTTGGAAACATGTTTCCAATTGTCTTGTCTTTTGCATTCATATTATTTGAATTTCTAAATTCTTTGAGGTACCTCTTTGTGATGCAGGCTAGTCTTCTTATTTCCATGCAAATACTTCTTTATCTGATATGAATAACTGTTCCTAGGTAAGAGACTATGTTGATGTTTTTTGACACCTGGTAGTTATGGTGAATTGAAGGTTGTTTAGTGAATGTGAGAATCATATATCATTACCTTGTAACATATTAGGTAAGTTACTCTTTATACTCAGGATATGCAGGCCTCCATATGTTAGTTTCCAGAATTTTAACCTTTAGTGCCACAACATCATTGATTAACTTTGCATTCATGACTCTTTCCAAATTATCCTAACAGACAAAAAGAACAAAACTTGACATCTGAGGTAGATCTTTAAGTAAATGTCCTCTGAACAAAGAATACATCAATATAGAAAGTAGAATCATTGCATAAAGTTTACTGACTAAATTATGGACATCTTACTCCTGGATTGTTATTCTAGAACTAGAGACAAACTAATTAAAAGTAAACTGGGAATGAGTTAGAGCATCATAGTTAATGCTCTAATTGAAGGTCAAACATTCATAGGTATGAAGAATATCTCCTCCTGCAAACCACAGCAGATACACTGATCATTCAGCCACCAGATGGGATGAATTTATTAACCAGTACTAAAGATTTTGCTTTGCTGGGTTTTTAATCACTAACTTTGTAATACTAAAAGATGATGGATTGTACCTATGCCTCAGAGATACTGTCTTTTGTCTTAACTCCCTGGCCTGTTTTCCATTTCTAATTTTTTTGAACAATTTAAATGACAATCACATCTTTCAAGTTACTACACCCAATGTCCATGTGAATTGACTTTGTTTTATGAACAGCCCAGGGCAGCACTCCTTCTACTGTTGTAGCAAAGCAACTAACAAAAGAGGAGTGGCTTTTCTTATCTTGCAGAAGTCACAGAGCTGCCTCTAATGGTTCTCAATGTGAATTTTTCATCTGTGAATCTGGGCATGCTACCAAAAGTGTTGTAAATTGGTGTCGTCTCACCCATAGAAGCTTTCTGGTATTTTTCATGCTTGTTTCAGCAGGCAACATTTCTACCATTTGCTAGGTCACATTTTCTTGGGGGCAGGTTTGTTGAGGAGATCTGGAATGCCCATGAGCAATTCCCTTCACTTTTCTTAATCCATGAAAAGGACGGATATCCCAGCTTTTCCGCAGTACATGAAGTTAGAAAATATGGTTTTCAAACATGCACTCTTTATAATTTAAGTATTAAGTTTAAAATACTCCCTAATGTTCCCTTTTTGAAAACTTACAGGAATTATCTAATACTTTGTTTCTTATGGGTAAATTAAATGCCCAGCCTGGTATGTTATATTTGAATCTTACCTTGTAAACCAAGAACTGATTGAACCTTCTAAAAGTAGAACTGAGAACTCTGAGTAAGATTTTATTCAGAGGAATACTAGTATATTATACATACTATAAACTATAAATGCTTTTTATTCCCAGCCAGCTGTTTCTGCATGCCTTATCATCTTTAATATGCAATATTCAAGGGGATTAGGTCCGAGAGCAGGAAGTTTTGAGTTGAAGATTGCATCAACCTCTGTTGAAACAAAGCACCCCAAGTCCACCCACCTAATGTAGTCTTTGTTTTCAGAATCATTTATCCAGGATATGGGAGTGTGCCATATCTTTATGCCTCCTCATGGAGCACAGGTTGAGAGAGAAAGTAAGCTGGTGATTATCGTACAAGACCAGGTATCAAAAGTCCCAAAAAACTCAGCTCATCATGACTTTCCACACCTTCCTGGCCCTGTTATTTCTACATCAATATATTATTCTCTGACCCAAGAGAACTGTTATGAAATGTAATCACTGTGAACGTTTTGAGAATCTCAAATGAAGCAAAGAAGTAAAAGATTTCCTCACCTGTTTTGTTTCTCTTTGAACCCATTTCCTTAGGATGCAACAATATGGGAAATAATGATATTTAGGAAACAAACTATACTCTGACAAGTGGCTTAATGATTCTTCATTTTCCATGCTTATGTGTAATTCATATATCCGTTCGTGAGTTGCTCACTTAAAAAAATATTTCCATAGTGAAATCTAACTAAAATTTATTCCTTTAAATAAATGCAGGAACAAGTTGAATCTCATTTTTTGTTTAACATTTTTGAAACTAAATCGTATCTTCACTTCCTTATAGTTTATTAGAACATAAAATCTTAGAAATGGAGGGAAAGCACAAGGAAGAGTTGGACACCTTAAAAGAAGAGAAAGAGAATCTTCAAGGCTTGGTTACACGTCAAACATATATAATTCAGGAACTGGAGAAACAACTGACCAGAGCCACCACCAACAACAGTGTCCTTCAGAAGCAGCAGTTGGAGCTGATGGACACAGTGCATAACCTCATCAACCTTTGCACTAAAGAAGGTGGTAAGAATTTCTGCTCACTTCGGCATCATAAAAATTTAATTAACATAGAGGAAGTAAATACCCAATACCATTTTCTTTGTTTGCATTGATTGCTGTGTAAAAGCAGAAAAGATTTTCTTGTTAGAAGCATTTAATGAAATTTGAGGTGACATTTTTCTTATGATTTTAACTTAAAAGAATGTAATTTGAATTTATGAATTTACGTCTCTTTCTAAAAGAGCTCCAAGTGTCTTCTTTCTTACTGTTTTTAACCTTAGATAAAATGTGAAGTACTTTCATGGCTAAATGCTTGATATCGTTGTGTTGAACACTTGATTAAGTCAGAAGTCAGTCAATGTTAAAGATTGGTACAGAAAGTTGGGGTGAGTTTCAGAAATGTTCCCATTTTACAACAAGTGGTAATTTATTTATTTATTTATTTATTTATTTATTTATTTATTTATTTATTTATTTATTTATTTATTTATTTTGTGGAGAAGGAAAGAATGGGTTGCTTTCAGGAAAAAGTCAAAATAGATGTTTCCAATAACTAGTGTAAAGGAGAAATTGTGTTATTAAACATATTTCTTAAGATCACTTATGATTAGTCCTATGTGGAGAAAACCAACTAAGGTACCTAAACACATTTATATTGGGGTGTCTGTGAGAGTGGAAATTCACATTTTTAATATGACTGAAATGGCTTGAACCACTTAACCCCTGCAAATACTGCAGACCTGTGTCTCTTTAGAAAATATCCATCCATCTATCCATCCATCAACCTGACAATTACTGAATGAGTATCTATGTGCACTTGTCCTCTTAGTGGAACCTCTCTTGAAGCTCAGGAGAACTCTTCAGTTTGGAGCTCAAGGTCATCTCTGTAGTTCTGTTCTCTTATCTTCCTTTCCCTGAGTGAGGATGGAAGGGTAAGTGGCAGTGAGTGAAAGAACACCACATAAATCTGATAGTTATGGTTGTCATTTAATTGTGGCTTGTGGGAGACCATCCATGAGTTGGTTCAGTATGCATATGCAAAATACATATAGTGGAGTCTCCTTTAACTTAATAGTGGACTTGAATCCAACATGAAAAATTATCTCAATTCCATACTTTCATGTACAGATATGAAAATAGAGGATAATTCTATGTTATCTTGTTTTAAAGACATTTCACATTTCTCTATTACACTCCATTACCTTGAATTATATCTTCTTTAGATAGTCTAAACATACTCTTAATATACTTTGTAAAGGATATTTTTTAAACAGTGAGTTCCCAGAGCTCCATTTGGGCGTGCTCAAAAATGTGATTGGGAAGGAAAAAACCTGCTAATCAGTCAGAGTCTGCCAAAACCTTGAGTTAGAGTCCACTGGAAGGAAAGCATGGTAGGATTTTGCCAGAGAATTTTAATAGAGCTCATGAGTATTTAGAAATTAAGTACTAGTATGAGACATATCTATTCTCATATTGAACTGAATACATTTGGGGAAAGATTGAAAACATATTTTTCTTATCATCCTGAGACTTGCAGTACATGAAGTTGAGTAGCACTTTTTTTTCATGATGTTAGAAATATCAAGCCCTGGTGATTCTCACAGAGCTCATATGTCTGCCTACTTATCATAATTTCACTTCTTTTATAAGTATTTGCCTAATAAATATGCCTTTAAACTTTTGAGGGGAGCGACATAAAAATTAAAATCCCTGGCTAGGTTTTGAGTTTGGGTATAACATCAAGCAACCAGTATCTGTTCAATAAAGAAATATTTATTGAACAATTTTGATGGTATTACTGGCAGATGTTTACCCATAATGTCTATGGGGCATATTTTAAAAAATGACTGTCTATTATATGATGTCTAGTACTTCAGGCCTTTAGCTATTTATTTTCTTTTTAATGATAGAATTCTAAAAGAAAACCTAAATTATAGATTTGTGGATCAGATATATATACTAGCTTATATTCTAATGTGGTCAGTACTCTCTTGACCATAAATTTCTTTGTTTTTTTTTGGTTAATCTTTTGATTCTTTAATCCCACAGTTAAGTCTTCTCACTAGATTTTTGGTCATGAAAGGATTCATAAGACACAAACATGGAAAGCAGATCTGACCAAGGTTTCCATAAAAGTGTTAATTCCCTTCATGTGTTCATTTTCACTTAAACCATAGTCTTTAGTGATGGTATATTTAAATTTTGAATGACTAATAGCATAATACTAGATTAAATGTCAATTATTAAAATGAAATTTTATTCATTCAAATTCTAAAGCACATTAAATAAAAATTCGTTTTACATGATTTTTTAATCACAGGATTATGTGCAAATATTCTTTTTTAAATGACTAAAATAAATTATTGACCTTAAAGATCTCTGATTCCAACTTGCTCTAGCCAGGTATGAGGACAACCTGAATACTGAAGGGCAAGAGAAGAATATTCTATATAGTTTTCTTTGTCATTGGCAACTATTTAACCTTTATGAAACTGCTTTCTCATTTATAAAGTCTGGATAATTGATAGGGAATGATAGGGAAATGATAGGGAAAATATTAAATAGATTCTACCTACATATAAAAACAAAGAACACATGATGTAACTGATATAATTGTTCCTTCCTTCTCCTCCAAGATTCAATTAAACATATATTGTTGTCTATAAGCAACTTTTTTCATGGAAAATGTATGAATACAATGCTCTGGACAGTCATCCAAATTCTTTTAACCTCAATTTTCTTGTCTCTAAAATGGAGTAATACTTACTTGATCAGATGACAGTAAAACATAGAAGAGGTTTGTATACAACGCATAGCATCCCTGCCTGTCCAGTAAAAATACTTTAAAAGTAGTTAATTTTATTTTTATGTTTTCTAAAGTATAACTTACTGACATCACATAATAAAAGAACTCCTAGGAAGTGTTGGCTGTAAATTTATCGTTTCCCCAGACATCTGTTTGGTCCAGAACTATAAATATAATATTGACCATAGGGAGTAATTTTTTTTTAGTTTCATAAAAATTTTCCTAGTAAAAGAAAAATCTATGTCTTGAGATACATTTATGCTAAGTAGAATTAATAAACACATTTTCTGAAATAATTTGCCAAACCTTTTTCTTGTTCCAAACAGGCAATAGTAGTATCTTAGGCAAACAGTCATTTCATACTAAATTGTATCCATTTGGCTTCTGGGTAACACATTTATTTTTGTTTGACCTTTGTCTGCAAACATTTGGTCACATTTATTCTTAGAAACATTACCCACGAAAGAAATATTGCCCTCAGTGTTATCATAGTGTCAAAGCTTAGTAGATTGCTTCATGCTTTTGGCAATTCACAGTTATTGCTGAAATCAAATAGTTTGCATTGATAATACCATGGAAACAAAATTTAGCATTGTTTGGGGTGGATAATCAGGTAGCCTGGCTATCAAATATGCATCAGTCATCTATGTACAGAGGAGATCAAAACATAATCACATACATTGAGCACACATGAAGCAAATATCTTATTGTGTGGTCAATAATTTAATTACTAACAATGTTTTTATGAAAGGAAAGAAGAAAAAGAAAAAATTAGTCTCCATCATAAAATTACAAGGATGCTTGTCTCACTGTCGAAATAAGCTTTGTATATAACCATGCTATACTAGCATGAGATTTATAAATATATCCATTCATAAAAAATTCTTATACAGTAACTTTTGTTTCAGATTCTCTTGTAGCATCTAAAGCTGTTAATCCATTTTTATTTAATATTTACTGAGTTCCTGTAATATGCCAGGTACTGTTCTAACCACTGGGAAGAGTGAAAAGATGTAATTTTATCACTGGCTTTCAGAAACCTGGAGTTTGGTTTCCAAAACCAAGAGACACATAATTGCTTGTTATATTCTATATATTTTCAGTATATTCTATATTTGTTTGCTAGCTGTGAGGTCAGAGTATCAGAGTAGGCTACAAGGCACACAGAAGGAATATTCTAATTATGGCATGGATAAAAAAGATGAAGGTAGTATCTAGCATCCTTAGTCTTAAGGATTTTGTTGAATGATTAGTATAATTTCCAGGATCATGAAACAGAATGGACGATGGGGAGGAGTATAGTGTAAATCTTAGAATCCAAGGTAGGAGAACAGTGAAAGATGAGGTTAGAGAGGTAAACAGAGAGAATAAGTAAACTGCATTTTATCCCTTAAAGCAGTAAACAGTCACTGTCATTATAAAGGGACAGTGTTGACAATTGCATTCCAGAAAAATTACTTTAGTCAAAATATATTGGAAAGTTAACAAGCTTGAAATTAAAGGGACTAAGTATGCATTTTTGTCATTATTAGACTACTTACTAGCAAGTATATAACGCATATATAGGTCAGTAGTCTGAGAGCTTTGCATATATTAAACCATTTAATTCTATTAACAGTTTTATAAGCTAGTGGCTAGTATTAACCTTATATAAATGATAAAGAAACTTAGCACCAAGAGGTAATTCCCAAATGTCACACTACTAGTGAATGAGCAAGGTAAAATTTGAGCACAGAAAATCTAGGTCTGGAGTCTGGCTGATATCCACTGGACTAAAATGGGAAAGGAAGGTTGGATTGATTTGGTTTTCATCAGATTTTCACTGGGATTTCCTAGAAGGGAAATCATGGGGTCCAATTAAATAGTGGCAAATGGAAGGACAGATAGAAGGCACATGTGTAAACTGACAATTATTAGAATTCATAAGAAATCCTGACTTCACAGAGGTAGAGTCATATAACTTTGAAATTCTGGATTGAGTAACTGAGGGGATAGTGATAACATTTTTTTAAGTCAGCAACATATGAGGAGTAAGAGGTTTAAGGGAAAGATAATGAGTTTAATTTGGGGTTTTTGACTGTGGTCACTATGGGCTAATTAAATGATTCTGAAAGGCAGAGGAATACACATGTGGACTTCAGGAGCAAAACTACAGATGACCATACAGATTGATAATGTCCTTTAACTATAACTTGTATTCTAAGCCATACTGCAAATG